GAGAGAGAGAGAGAGAGAGAGAGAGAGAGAGAGAGAGAGCGAGAGAGAGCGAGACAGGCAGACAGACAGACAGAGAAAGAGAGAGCGAGAGAGACCAGTAGCGAGATAGTCCCAACATGCATCACGCCGGCCAGTGCATGATGTGCACCTTCTCGAGATCGCTGAGCATGGCCTCTACAACCCACAAATACCAGCGTTCGCTGTTAGTGGGCTAAATATCTACCACTTTTAATTAATGTGGCCGAAGAGCTGTAACCCTGAAGTGGCGGGAGCTCCTCAAGGACAGCTGCGGCCCACCAGCCACACGCAATGGTGGCCCTCGAAAGTGGGGTGGCCAAGCTTGTGTTGGACCAACACCAGACCACGCGCCAAACACAAGCATACGATTCGAGGGTGGAATGGTCGAGGTAGGGTTGCCCTTGTGGAAAGAGGAGTTGTAAAACTGAACGCTTCGCGTCGTCGTTGTTTTTTTTACCTAACCCTTACTTTTGGCAGATGAGCTTTCCGGGGCATGTGTCGTCCGCGGTGCCGCCGCCGCCGCTTCTGGCCGTCCGCTGCGAGTTCCACCGGGACTTCACCTACACCGACGCGGGGTTCCACCAGGACGGGCTCGTGTGGCACTTCGAAGACAACCACCACTTCGTCAAGGTGCGGTGTACACCATGGCCTGTTGATGTTGTTGTCGTCGTGGTGGATGATGTTGATATTGGTGTAGTGGTTGCTGATCTAGGTCGGTTTGTGGTGTGTTGTTGTCCTTGTTGCAGTCTATGCTCCAACATCATTTTCTCGCTGCCGCCACCCGCACCTCCAATCCTCTAACTTCCACGTTCCTCCCCCTGCCCTCTCCCAAAACTTGAACGACATCATACGTTACTATGAACCTCTGCAATGTTTTGAGAGCCCAAACGGATCTGTCACCCGGTGGGCTCAGGTGATTTCCACTTTGTGGCCTGTGTGGTCCGGCTCTCTCCTCCATCATCCCCCCTGTCGATTTTCGTCCTGATGGTTTTTTCTCGGGCTCTTGAAAAAGGAAACAATGAAGTTCCCCACCGCTTGAAAGGAAAAGCCGAAACGAGTTATGATACATGTTTGGCGCTTGCTCTAGTGATGCTCTTGCCCATGCTCTGTCCGAAAAGGACGGACAAAATGACTTCTTGAAGGAAACGACGAGTGGTATACGATAGAACAACCAGCCGAGGTTTCGTGTTTATTTCGATGAAGCAGAACTCCCAGGTTTGTGTGAGTGTTTTCTATTTTGCCCAGCAGACACTGGTTCGCAGCAGACGCACCACTTTTCAGCGATCATTCTGACCTTCTACATACCAGTGCGCGAGAAACGATGCTGCTGTGCAAGTGCAACTACAGCTGTTCAGTGCGTATTTTGCGTGCTCACAACATGAGTTGCCTTGCAACGTTTCGCTCTTGCTCTGCCCTCTGCTACACCCCCGGAAAAAAGGTGTCGAACTACCCGGCTCTAGAGGTCGAACGAGACGAGAAATCCTGGGGGTGGAGGCTAATCAACGCGCATGTCACCTTCCAGCAAGACCGGGCGCTGCCGCCGTCGAGTGTTGGCACCAAGCTGTATTGAGTAGTTTTGCCGACAGTATAGGATAGAACTATGTATTTGGGGGCTGCGTGTACGGAGGTGCGGACATTTGTCATCCCTTTGAGTGCGGCGTGTAACGGTGATCTTTGGTCGTCGTAATGTTACCGGTGAAGGAAGGTCGTGGTGGTTGTGGTGAATGCTGTCGGTGTTGTCCTCTCTTATAAAATGTTGTTTGCATACAAATATGCGCACAAAGAACCATGAAAGAACTCTGGTTCTAGCACCTATTCGAGATTAGACTATCATGTCCCGGTGGATCGGTCGAAGTGGATACGTTGCAGTCTTTTACAGCAGTTGTAAGGCCCTGCTGGACACGGGACTCATTCGAGTCTGGTTACGTGAATGCACAGAGAAACGAACCTCTTCTTGTTGAAGGTATAGTCTATGGGGGCCGTTCGTTGTCTTCTTTTTTGCCGTCCTTGTAGCAAGCGCAGGGGACGCAGCAGTCATGGGTGGATTTTTGGTGATGTGTATGATTCTTGGCGAATGAGAGTGGACGCTTAGAATCAGCGGCTTAGTCAGCGGCAAAGGGAAAGCACCTCACACTGCACGGGGAGTTGAGCCCACCGATTGGTCAACAAACACCCTCCCCACGTGAAATGCACCGGCACCGGGGTACACACGAAATGTGTAGCGCGATAGAACGGGAACGAGCAACAAACGCTCGTTTTCGACCGCAAACCGCAGAACGCTTCCTGTTTCACTTCGGAAAGGAAGTCACAGAAACTGCTTCTGCTACACCAAAAGTTTGCGGGGTCAAATACTGCAATGTGCAGCACCGGACGGAGCGACCGTGGTGGTACGCATAGGAATGTGCATGCTTGCCACATGACACCCACACCGATGGGAGAATGAAAAAAATAGTAGTCTATGGCCAACGAATAATCTGCACGCTTCCCCCATTGGACAATTCTTTCCCTTGGGCCATGGAACCGAACTACCTGAAGCGGCGATTGGCAAGGTTCCGCGGCAAGCAGCCGACGGCGAGGCCGGGCGTCACATTTCGTCGAGGGCTTAGTACCAGGGTATGACGAATGTGGTCAGCGGCAAAAAAAAGCTGGCCCCGTTAATAGAACCCAAACCCCCCACCGTATTCAGCGAGAGGTTTTCGCGGGAAAACATGACATGACCAGGGTTGAAGAATTTTCCTTCCACGTCGGATATCCAAACGACGTGGGACATGTATCATTAAATCGCCAATGACGAAACGGACCAAATTTACTATTCCGAAGTAGCGGACATGTGCAATTCTTCAGGGTCGAAATCTGAGGAAAGGCATTATTCTAAGATGTATGTGGTGATGAGGTCTGAATTTGATGAGTTCACTACCCGAACCAGCATCATTCCGGGACCACGTACTTGCTGCCCCTTCAGCGTGAAAAAATTCGAGCAACCTGCAACGCACTCTGTTGCTTGAAGCACGTTTTCGACGGGCCATTGTGTCTGTTCGTGTTGTTTCAGCAATTAGGCAGGATGTCCGGGAACCCAAGAGGCCATTCTTACGAAGAAATAAACCATGAACTATCTGGACTACTTACTGTTAAGATACACTACTACTGCTGTAGCAATGCTTGCTACGATATGTGCACACCGCTGGAGGCTGTTGGCATGGACTCCTCTCGCACGCATCTACTGCTGTCTGTCTTCTTCCAACCAGGACAACCTGCTGCTGCTGCTGTTGTAGCCTAGTGGACTATATCGGGCCCGCACAGATCCCTCGAGGACCTTTCATCAGCAGCCTGCCCGCAGCCTCATTAAATGCGCGTCGTAGAAGACTCTTACCAATGCTCACGAACTGCATGTTCGCCCCACTCTGCAAAAGCAACGTCATTCAATTCCATGACCAGCTGACGTAATGCGTCGCTACACAATATACACCGAAGTACTCCACATTGTAGTGCATAGATGAAAGTCGAGGATAAAACAAAACTTGAAAGGGAACGGGAAACACGAAGAAAAATCGAGATAATAGATTTACTAGTCTACTACCTTTCGCGAAGAAACCACGGTTGAAGGTTCCTACGCATGACTAGAATACATCGTCGTTCAGAACAACTAGGCAAAGGTCGACAAATAATGCCCCACCCCACTCGAACGAAGGTGATGTAGCTGGATGCGGATTGCTCCGCCTCTGCCGCCAACTGACCATGACGTTTGTAGGAGCTCCGCAGTAACGATAGCAAGAACCCCGACAAGAACATGCCCTCGCAGACCGGAAGTGAACATCGGGTCGAGTGTCCAGTCCACACATGACCAGGGCAACCCACACTTATGCCCTAACGGGGCAAGAAGACCCGAATCTACGAGACAAACCGTCAGGGACTACAACCAAGCGAGACCACCAGCAAAGATCATGAACGCCAGCATGAAGTATTGCCCCGTCCTTGGTCCACCACGCCCCTTCACGTGGTGAGACGCCGCTCACCCAGCAATCACGGGCGGTCTATAAGATAGATACCACGACGATCACGGGATGAGGCCTAAAATAAAGAGCCAAGCAACATCGAGACCACCAGCGAAAAACTCAAACTCATTCTTCACGGATACGCAAGCCACCAAGATTGAGCAAAAAAAATGTAAACGCAGCAAACTGGCAAAGAATATGTAAAATTGTCGCGACAAAGAGCTCAACCCTACCCCACAACAGGCCCCACGATGGTGAGTAATGAATGTCGTGGAAGTCTTCTGGTTCAACGTGCAAGTAAAAATTGCGACTTGGCGGTGTGTTTTGTCCAATGCATGCATGGTACACGTAAATGGAATTCAGAAAGCGTCTGGTTTTCCAACCACAGCCACACGGCGCCCAATGCACACGCTCGGCCGCAACATAAACGCAGCTGTTCCCTATACGCACAGCAAAGATGGCAAAGCAAGAGTCACCCCCATGCGCTCGCCCCCTGCCGTGGGCATCGACGGCGACGGCGACGACGACTGCAAGAAGCACATCCCACCCCAAAACCAGCGACCATCCTGCACAGCTCACATACATGCTGGTGAACGAGTGAGTCATCAAGAGCGTTGCGTTGGACTGCGGCTTGAAAAATGTAGTCCCGGTGTGATGATTTTGGTTAGATGCGCGCAAAGCGACACACAGACCCTGAGACGGGAGGACGGGCAACACCCACAGAGAGCAGACAGACAAGGCGTTTGTCTTGCCTGCAACGAGAAAGCGCGACGATTTCGGTATCCAGCAAACACCATATTTTCTTCAAGCGTCTGGTAATGCTTCTTTGAGACGGAACAAAAAACAAAATAAAAAAAGCTGTCCGTCGATCGTTCGTGCCTCAGACATGCGCAAAAATTTAGATAGACGCTACCCGCGCAGGTCACAGGAGCGGGAAAAGTGCCGGCTTGGGCACGTACCCGCGCCTCGATCCTACCCGAAACCCGGCGAAGAGCCCAAGGGTGGTGACGCTCGCGCACACCGTTATGGACTGCAGCAAGGACCACCCCACGGTGCGGCTGAAGGTCACTTCGACCGGAGCCGCCGCCTCCGCCGTCTCCGCCGGTGTGTCGGGGTATTGATAACCCAACAGCGATGTCTTCGCGGATGTCACTGGCCGGCCTTCGTCCTTCCCTCCTTCGAGCTCCTGCGCGAAAGAACCTTCGAAGAACTCCGATGCCGTGCAAACCTGTTTATAATGGCGGTGGAGTTGGTCCGGGAGGGTCCGGGAGGGGGGGGGATTCAACTTGAATCCGTACAGGTTCTAGGGCGACGCTGTGTTGCAAAGTGCGGCATGAGCGGGGGCCCGTGCAAAGTGAAAAAAGTGGAGTTGTTGTTGTTGACTTCACATTAAACCGTATGCCAGTTGCTAAATGCCAAAATCTAGCAAAGACTCTCAGCCCGTGGTCACGAAAGTGCTAGAGCCATCTGAGGATCTAAAGAACACGCACACGTAGCAAGAAAAAGGTATCCAAGAGCCCGAAGAGGTACTACTACACCTATATATAATCCCTGCAGCACCGTACGCGTGCCCAAAACTGAACTACACGTCCGTCTCACCGTTCGACTACAG